TATAAATATAATATAAACTATTATAAATTGAAACAGTATATCTACTGGTTTGTATTGAATATTGGGAACAGTTTTCGAAGTAATACCATATGTTTATACTACCATAAAAATATTTCATTGTAACATTCAACTAATAGTTTTAAAAAATCTGGAGGATTGAATGTTAAATACAAAAATAATATTTACAATATAATTTTTTTTTAAATTAATAGTGAAACATATGACAATGTTTTCTATAATAACTACATTTTTTAATGTAAATTCACGTTATCTACAGTTATCTAATTTAATTTATGGAACAAAGTTAATGCCAAAACACTTTATGGAATATATAAAAGGCCTTTCAAATTTACATTAGCATAAAGCCTTATAAATTTTAAGAGATCCTTATGATTGGGTCTATTAAAATATGCAAAGCACAAATAAATAATCTTTCTTCAATTAGTATTAAGTATTTTTATTTTATTTTTATTTTCATAATTGTGACAACAAATTTTTTAACTGGTAATTAATTCAAAGTTTGATGAATCTTAGATATATTATAATTAAACAACTTCTATGACTATAGTATAAGGCTAATTGTCTAAACTTTAGAGCATGATCTCTCCCACTATGTAAAATTTCATTAAAACTGTGAAACAAAATCTTAGCAATTATGAAGAAATAGCCGGGCAAATCTTTACCCTTACACTACTCAGCACAATATCCAATTGATATCTTCAAAAGTGTTTTGATTTTTCAAAATCAGAACTTTAGGCAAAAACCAATTACTAAAAATGAAATAATTTAACTTCTTTGCTATTTATAAAGAAATGACTTGGCTGGCCGGTTGTGGCACAAAACTAATCAAGGTAAGTCATTGTTTTATATAATGTGTTTCAAATTTTTGAAATCATTGCAGCTGTATTCTAGAAAAGTCAAATTTTACATACACTCGTTTTTCAATTTAGATGTTCAAACATTCAAAATTACTTGAAATATCCAGTAAACATGAAATAAGTAAGTCAGATTATCTGGCCTGGCTGATACATACAATTCTCCATTAGGAAGTTAATAAATGAAAATACAATATTTCAAAACATGAATCTATTATAAATGTTGTTATTAATGTACTAATTAATAATAATTGCATTAATGTTCTTAATTTTATTAAGAAGAAATATATAATAATATACTGTTCATTCATACACACATACATTTTCTAATTTAGGTGTAATGATTCAGAATGACTTGAAACGTGGAAAAATCATGAAATAAGTAAGTCGGATTTTCTGGTGAATATATATAAAATTCTCCTTTGGAAAATTATTGAATAAAAATAGTTTAAACATAAATTTTCATTATTTAGTTTCAAAAAACAATTAATAGTTTAAAACATAAATCTATGAATATTATGTTTTTGTTAATTTATTAGATTATAAATATTAAAATCTATCAAAGATTAAAAAGAAATATAACAATACCGTTTGTTCACCACATACATTTTTTCAGGTGTCAAACGATTCAGAATGACTAGCAACGTCGAGGAAATAAATTTAGCAAGTGAACATAACATTCTTAAGGTGCGTCCACACCTAACGAACGAACACGAACGAACATGTCGAACAAGAAAATACAAAAGGTGCGTCCACACCTAACGAACGAACACGAACGAACATAAAAGAACGTACCAGAACGAACGGCAACAGCATAGTGTGGACGCCACAACGATCACGAACGAACATAAACAAACATGGCGAGCAATGTTCCGCAACTTGTCGGTACATCAAAGGGAATTGTTCGTTCATGTTTGAACTCGTATGTGCAGTGTGGACGCTACACGAATGTAGACAAAATTTTTCTTTTTTGGTGTTAAAATGGCATAATGCATTAATTTAGTTTGTATTATTATAAGATATTGCTGTTATGACAAATTTTGTAAATTTGATGACTTAAATAATTTTTTCTCTTTCCCGCCACTTTAAATAATAAATCTGACGTTTTCACGGTACATCCTCGAACAAAAAGATTCCAACCCTCACTGCTTGAGGCGTTTGTTTGGAATTTTTCGCGTTCGTTCGTGTTCCTGTTCGTTCTATTTTGTATTTTCTTGTTCGACATGTTCGTTCGTGTTCGTTCGTTAGGTGTGGACGCACCTACAGATGAACGAACAGGAACACGAACGAACGCGAAAAATTCCAAACGAACTTGAA